TTATTATTAATATTAGTCAATACCTCTTTATCAATCAATGTCTTGACTCTCTCTCTCTTTACATTCCTATCTTTTGGATCAGTGGTCCAAAGCTCACAAATATGTTAATGTCTTATGTTGTTACTACTAAATTTCTTTCTATAGAAAGTAGAGCTGTTTAAGTGTCCATTCTCCCATCATATGATGGCATCTTTATTCCAGCATTTTCATTTATGCCACAGCATGTAAGTGTGGCAAATTACAAACAGAGTATCTCTTTTTTTCTCTATCCTTTCTCTTTCTATTTTACATACATACACACACACACACACACACACTCACACACACTCACATTGAAGATCAGTCACGCCGAGCTCTGATTGCTGCCCACACAAAGTGATGCTGCCAAATCCAGTGGCATAAGTCGAAGTCCTTCAGATCCTTCTTCCCAGTGGCTTAAACATCCAACTGTTAGAAGTCTGTGTTCTGAGACTGTTGGCTACCATGGCAACAGAGGAACCTGTTGCTATATATGTGTGGAAAGAGTAAAGGGATATAGAAAACCAAAGGATCTAGGTCTTTTTTTCAGTCAGTTTTTGCATCACTGTGACCAAAATACATGATAAGAACAACTTAGTGGCAGTACAGTTTATTTAGGGCTCCTATTTTCAGAGGTATCAGTATATGAAATGCCAACTTCTCTGTTCTGGGTTCACGTTGAGGCAGCACATCATGGGGACAGGGCCCAGGGTAGGAGATGTGCTCTAATGATGATGGGTTAGAAAGCTGAACAGAAAGGAAGGAACTGCAGGAAGAATAGCAATTTCAGGACACACCTTTAGTAACCCACAACCTCCAGCCCTGTCCCACTTGCCTACACTGACCACTCAGTTGGACTGATTTGGTTATAGATCTCATAATCTACTTATTTTCCTCTGAATATTATTGCATTAGCTTGAACTTCTAAGGGACACCTCATATCCAAACCAAAATATTCTGCCCCTAGTCCCTAATAGCTATAAATATAATAATAGTATAAAAAGTATAAATATATTTATATTTTATAATAGTATAAAAAGCCATTAGTTTCTTTACAAGAGTTTCATACTCTTAGCAGATCCAGCACTGCTCAAATAGTCCTGTTCAAGTCCAAAGTCGCCTCTGAGACTCAAGGCAAGATCTTGACCATGAGCACTGGTAAAATAAAAAAAAAACAAGTTTCCTAAGTCCAATATACAGTGGCACAGAATAAATATTCTCTTTCAAAAAGGGAGGAATATGATTGTGGCAGAAAGAAGGATTGTGGAAAAATTAACACCAAAATCCAATATTTAAAACTGGTCCCCTGTTCCTGAGAAAATCATCTGGAATACATGGTTCTGAGATATTATTTCAAAAGGGCTGTGTCATCCTTTCCCCTTTAATCCAGCTGTTTGCATGCTCAAGGGCCATATGCATTGATGCACATTTATAACTCAGTCTGGCTGGGAGAGTCTCAGGTCTGCACAATGATTGGAATTCTATAAGCTATTTGTATTTCACTGCCCTTTATTCAGCTACCAAAACATATGGTTCAAATATCAACTGTAAATTCATGAAGCACCCCCAACCTCATTCCTTCAAATAGGTAGATCCTAGATTCATGGTTTGTGTGGGAAATAAGCTACCGCCTTCTTTTGCTTTTCTCTTGTCTTCAGAGTTTGTGTTTAGTCTGCAAAGAGAAGGGGAAGGTGAGAACAATGGTCTATAACAATTTGGAATTTGACCTGGATATATAATATGTGTTTCAGGTGGACAATGAAAAAATTACATTTATGAGCTGCTGTGTAGGAGACCTCAGATGCCGTAGACACAGATACTCACAGTTTGTATAGTGTGGCTGTGGTTCTCTATCATACATTTTTTCTGATGTTCACAAAATTAATCTGTGAGATGCTGGCAAGCAGGCATGATTTTCTAAAGATGTTTGAAAATGACTTTGATGGACTCTCTGTGAATACTCATTTTACACAATTCAAAGTATGAAACAAATAGAATTGATGGCTGCTTTTTTAATGACAGAAGAGACCAATTTCTGCAGTGTTTTAGGCAGCTTTTACATTGATGTGACCAAAATTCTTGACAGGATCAACCTAGAAGAGGGAAAACTTATTTGAGACTCACAGTTTCAGAGATCTCAGTTCACAGATGGCAGATGCCTTGCTCTGAGTCCAAGGTAAGGAACAGGAGAAAGGCCCATGAATGCCTCATTTAATTTATTGAATATGCGGATCCTCTCGATGCTAGCAACTGAGTACATTGTAGAGTATTGTAAATTCTGATGACCATATGTCTAACTGGGATCTGCCACTTCTGTCACTACCCAGTATCCCTATCCCTAAACAGCATAGAATTGTCGCTCCTTAGCCTAGGAAGTGATCAAATTGAAAATGTGAAGTGAGTTTTCTACTGAACATATATTACTTTTGCACAATTTTACAATGTGGACCATCCATAATAAAAATTACTTTTTTACAATAATAATTTTTGACTAATTACCAATATTGCCTGCATTTCACATTCTGACTTAATAAATGTTTAGGTATTAGTTAGTTATTCAACATGAATAAAATTATTTCAGCAAACTAGCATTTCATAAGAGATTTATTATGTTATTGTATTTAACATAGTTCTTTAACAACTCTATATTCTTATTTGTGTGTGTGTGTGTGTTTTATTGGTTGTTCACAACATTACAAAGCTCTTGACAT